CAATATGTGAGATATCGGACCCGAGTAATTACTTCCGTTAGTCCGACAACGCTCACGAGTCAGGAGATAGCCGTTCAAGGTTATTAGCCCGTAACAACGGGACGCGTTTTCTAAGAGCGTTAAAGGAGGTGAGAGGGTCGTCAGTTTGGCTTAGGCGATATTCGAATAGACAACACCAAAATGCAAGGAAAACGAACATTTAATAATACATTTAGATTTAATACATTGGATACGCTATTCTAATTATGTTCTTTCGCGTAGTACCGAGAGAGAGTTTACATGGTCAGCGATCATACCTCTGGACGAGTTCAAGTTCGTATTCAAGTTCGTATTGGTGTGGCGATCGTCGTCCGGATCGGCTTCTGTAGGCGATGAGATGGGTTGATCAGGAGGAGATCGGATCGGGTGTAGTTCGTGAGAGACTATTCCGACCCCGTTTCGGATGGCAACCCCCTTTTTATATTCGGGATCACATGATTACAATAACCAATCGTACCTATCGGTGATGACTGTCATCAGAACTCCGGTTGAGAATCCGGTGAGGGAGGAAGTAGCTTCCGGCAGAAAAAGGATGAGCATCCGTTTAAAGATTTCGATAAGATCGCGTACGGGGTTCACTAAAATTTTATATGGCTAGGCCTATTATTTGGACCCTTACAATTAGAAGTCTGACATAAATTGGTGGATTGTTAAATGTTAATTGTGATAATGTTCAATTTAATATTTGAAATACTATTATAAAATGTGCTGCTTTAAGAGAGAGATTGATATCATGAAAAAAATATATAATTTTCTATTTTTATTTATTGAAGATTAAATTTGAAAATATTTCAACTTTTAAGAAAATTTTTTATGTTTAAAATAAATAACATTTTAATCATACATTTCAAATTTACAAAATTTTTTTTAAGATTTTACCTACAATTATTAGTAGTATGCTATAGCCTAAATGTAAATAAATACTGTATTATTGTAAATATACTAATTATTTATATATAAATACTTTATGATTTATGCAATTTATGCATTTATTACATTAAGTTGTATGAAATTTATGAAAATGTAATAGAAATTTTTTAATGATTTTAGAAAACAGTAGTGCTTCTGCAAGTTCAAGTTCTTCAGAACAGAGAGAAGTAGACAATCAACAAAATTCTCCTGTATGTACTTAACATAATTTTTAATTATTTTAATGCAAACATTTTTACATTTTTATATTGATATATCAAATATAATTCTGTATCTTGAATTAAATTGCATATTTTTGATATAATTAAAAAATAATATAAAACAAAATGACCTTATACTTAACATATAAATACAGTCAAACTCGGTTATAACGAACATGGATATAACAAGTTCATGGTTATAATGAACAAAATGCCATAAGTTTTAATTTACATGTATTTTTGTATATTTTTTCATGAATATACCGAGCTAATTTTCGGTAGATATGCAAACACATAAACATTCTTAATTGTTCAAATAGTAAGAAATATGATACTGAATTTTTGGAAGAGCTAAAACTGAAAGGAGTATATTAGTTTTATGACCAGCATGCATTAAAGACCTATTTATTACTTTCTTTTTGGAAACTGCCCCTCTCTTTCTTGACTAGCTTCCAGCCCTACTCTGCCAATTTACCTAATCATCAATACAATTGTAAAATTACTGTATACTCTAGTTAGAAATGAACCCTATTATGAGAAAGATGTCTATGAAGAAAGAAAATGTCTCTTGGTTTACGAAAAAGTAGAAATTATTTGTGAGTTAGAACATGGTGCTAAAAACATCAAAGTATGTAGAAACTTTTCTTTGTCACTTCTAACAATATTGACATTATGGAATAATAAAGCAGTCAACAATTTTAAGATTTGTAGGTATAAAGACTAACTGAAGTTGAGCATATTATTAATTAGTATTATCTTTTTAATTACGAAAAAGTAAATTGTTTAATATAAATTATATTATATTTGATGATAGGTTATGTGCCTACCATGGTCGTTACGGGTAACGGGGATTCAGGGTTCGATTCCGGAGAGGGAGCCTGAGAAACGGCTACCACATCCAAGGAAGGCAGCAGGCACATAAATTATATTGTAGTTTATACTGTATTTTTATTAATAGTTACATAATGTATTTATATATTATCTTGTTTAGAATAAAAAATTAAAAGATAGATTTTACTAATCATTAGTGGCATAGCTACAAATTCAAGCAGCTGTCCATTCTTTCTCTAGTTACATCACTGTTCTTCATGGATGTAACAAGTAACAATTATAATGAGGAAATCTTGTCAGTTCTCTAATACTCATTATAACCGAGTTCAACTGTATTTTATATAATAAACAGTTCAGAGTTAATTAAGCAAAAAATTTATTGTAATTAAGCTAATTAAGTGTTAATGATAAAAATAATTTTAACTATAAATAAACATGTCACTCTATTTTAGAAATTTTAACAATAAATGAATTAGAATTGTTTTTAATTAAAGTTTTATACAAAAAATTATCTGCTATAAAGAAGAATTTGACTATCTAATTCTCACTTAATATGTAAGTATATTTCCTGCTATACCATACAGGCTCTGAACAGAAATTTGATATACGGTAAACCCCTGCCAACTTGGACTAATAGGAGTGAGGGTTGTCTAATTTATGAAAGTCAGAGTTAGCAGGGTGATTTTTCCATCAACCTGGAAAATGAGAATATGGATATACAGTACAGTTATTTATTACAATCAGCTCTATACAGATGTTTTATTGAGCTGTGATTATATTGCTGAATTAATTATTATAGGTTATGAACCAAAAAATTACAGTCTTTACTAACTTATTGACTATAGTAATTTGATGCATGATATCACAAAAACTTCCAGATATTGAAAACACTAATTAAATGTTTTTATTGTCAAGAATTTTAAATTATTGTTTTGGAAACATTTGTGTAAGTTATGTGAAGTTCAAGTTAGTGGGGTTTGTTGTATATATAAATTTAGTATAAAACCATAGCAGTTATTAGGAAAGTTTGTGAATGGTATCTCTAATTTGGATGACAATTAACTTGTATATATAAATTTAAAATATAGTCATAGACCTGAAACCTCTTTTAGATAATGGCTAAACATATCAGCTCTTGTCAGAAAAGCATTAAACATTAGCAATGCGGGAATGGACAGCCAGAACAGGTAATTCTGACTGTCTAGGTATTGGCTTTGGCTTAATTTTATGTCTATTTTGTCACTAATTTTTCTATTTTTAATCTGAACTTGAAATCAGCCAGAGTCCAAGTCCAAATTAAAAATGGAAGCATTGATGACATTGATTGTCATAAAATGAAGCCAGAAAAAGAAAAAGCAGTGATCCCACAGAAAGTGGGTCCAGCAATAAACATACTGTCAGCAGGTGTGAGAATATGAAGAAATAGGGGAAAAAATGTGAAAAAATATGAAAAATTGTCAAAAGATGTGAAAAACTCAAAAACCATATCAGATATTTAAGTTAAATTGAATATTGAAATAAAGACAATGTATAATTTATTCTGTTATCAAACTTATTATTCATAATTCTTTGTTATAAAATACCATCTTCATTCCATTCACTTTAATGTTGTACTATCAATTATACAACATTGTGGTTGCTTGATGCTACATATTGTCAGTATTTTAGTGTATATCATAGTTTTTCTGTAATATATCAGTTCAGTAGCTCTGACTTACTTCAAATTTTACAGCATGTGGCAATATCATTGTTGATAGGTGAGTTTAAAATAATATTTTACTGTTATTTATTAAATTATTAGTCAGAAAATACATATTCTATTTTATTCTTGAATTTTCATTCAACTTAAGTCAACTATTTTATTAATAATGTAATCAGTAAAACAAATTGTTTTCTCCCATAATATTCAAGGTATATAATACTTTTTGTTGGATTAGTTCAGCAATGATAAACCTGTGACCAAGTCATGCAGTGACTTGTGCAATGGGTACAAGGTATCCACCTTGATTATTTAGAAAGTATTTGGTTTTCATAAAACAAAAACATTCAATAAATTTCAAAACTTTGCACCTATAGTATGAAAGCAAGATTCTAAATCTGTCATGAAAAGATTTCCCAATAAATGAAATACAATGGAACCTCAGTATACGACCTTAATCCGTTCCTGGTCTTTGGACTTATACCAAATAGGACGTATACCAAACCAACTTTTTCCATAAGAAGTAATGAAAATATGATTAATCCGTTCTCATGTAAAAAAAATGACTGGCTTTAAACACCTCGCTTTCCTCGCTAATTTTTGCTTGATTTTTCATGAGATCAGCATGTATCCTTTTAACTTTCTCGCAAGTAATTTCTTCCAATACGCTGTCGCCGGCACACTGTTTTTCAGTTATCCAAAGCAAAAGCAATTTCTCGACATGATCTAATGTCTTCGATCTCTGTTTAGAAATTGATTTAACCCCTTTCGCAACATTAGCAAATTTAATAATGTTTTTATTTTTCATGATTGTTGATATCGTTGTTCTCGGAATACAGAATGCAACAGTTAAATCTCGTTAAATCTTGAACACGCGTGCCACCTTCATATTTCTCAACAATCTTTTTTTTCAGTTCCGTTGTGATTCTGGTCATTTTTTTATTTTTCTGTTGCCCTTTTGCAATTCATGATTAATAAAAATAATAAAATGTTACTTACAAATTAAAGTCAGAAGAAATTTAACAAAGTTATAAACTGTAACACCGCGAATGTCTAGTCTAGTGTAGTACACCGATAGTGCTACTTGTTCATAGATGGCGCGTATAATTGAATTAAGTCATATACCGAGCAAAATTTGTTTCGTCCAAACAGGACATATTCTGAATTGGGCGTATTCTAAAACAGACTTATACTGAGGTTCCACTGTATTTGTTTCCAATATAATCACATTATTATTTCTTTTCACTTACATGTAGTTTAATATCTATCAGAAAAATAACAATAAAAAGTTAAAAAAAGTAAAATATTTAAGGATTTTTTGTTATTATATTTTTAATTACTCAAATTAAATATTTCACCCATGATTTGGAGTTATTAAAATTTTAGTTCAATTTTGATCCACCTTTGTAAAAAGATGCCATCTCTTGATTAGTTTAATAATGTCATATGTTAGAGGGGGTGTTTTCACCAGTATTTTTCAGATTCAGATAGAATCTCATTGTATTTACTACTTAGTTTGAAATGTTTGGATGTAAAAATTTGTTTTATTAAATTATTTAGCAGCTAGGACAAGTAACATGTTGTTTATGCCAATTCCTCTTTTATCTCTTTTCTTTCTTTCTTTTTTTTTTTTTTCTTTTGTTAAAGCTATCTGAGAAAGAAAGAAAGATATGGTTCATATGATCTGTTTATATAACATACTATGAAATAAATTATTAGAATTAAAGATGGGCTTTTTGTTATTCAAATGCCAATATCTACTGGAATGTTAATGCAAGAGAAAGCTTTCCTTATGCATATTTTATGCAATGAAATATCATTTAAATTCTTATCTGGATGTAAAGATTCATAAACTGAATGTAAATTAAGTTCTGGCAAAGTAAATTTCTACATTATGAAATTTTTCAAGTTAATATTAACAATACTTTCCAAAAAAATCTACTCAAATATTTTAGATCATAAGTTTTCTCAGTTAATTTGGCAAAAAAAAGTAAAACTGAGCTGGTATGAAGCTAAATTTAATTAATTAGATTATGGAATTTGGCATAAAAGTAGCTAATTATATCCAGTGGTGTAATTAAGATTTTTCAGGGATGATTTGGGAGGATGTGTTTATCACTCAATTCACTGTCTAGTATTAGACTGACTTGCTTTCGACAAATGAATGTTCTTTATATACTCACCAGACAAATATTCTAGAATGTTTATTTCTTAGTTAAAATTAGTCTATTAGATTTAAGCTAAATGGATATGCAAGTCCATATTATTATAAGTCCAATGAGAGTTATATTGCAATTTCTTTTATATTTATTTTGTCAAATTATATTTTTAATTATTAAGGTCCTTAATTAATCTTGATTGATGAATTAAACTTGTATATTTTTCAAATTTTTTACATTTCTAAAATACAGCATAATTACTAATTCTGATTTTTAATTCAAAAATGAAAAATTTTTTTTGTTTAAGAATGATGATCCAGATTCAATGAAAATAGAACCATTACCTCTGTATTTGAGTGCTGGTGTGCCTATGATCTCTAATAATTCATCCAGAAATCTTCATTCAGCAGACTGGGCTATTAAAGTCAAGGAATGGCAAACAGCAGAACAGTTAACAAGAATGCGAGATGAAGATCCTTCTCTTTTAAATGGAAATGATAAAAAAACAAGTCAAGAATTGTGTGTTGTATGTGGAGATAAAGCATCAGGTATAATTATTTTATTAATATTATATTAATTTCATATCAGCATTACAATAGATAATTTTAAAAAAAATTATTACTTAATACTTAAATAATAAATATTTATAATACTTTTTTAAAAATTTGTGAGAAAAATGTATAACATATAACTATTTAAAACAATGTTTGTTTCTATATACCAAATCTGTATTAGTGTAATTTATAAACTAATATTAATGAATTTGAATAGTTAAATGAAATTTATATGTAATTAAGTTTTGTATGGACACACATTTTGACTTAACTAAAACTTCTGTAAAATATCAAATATTCTTTATTGTGACAAAGTTAATATGTTGCAAGCAAGTAAACATATAAATACTTCAGTCTTATTTTAGACATTGGTATTTTATGCTCTGCTTAAGGTTAATAAGGTTTGTAATGATATTTAACAGCTGTACAGACCCCATAATTATCTCTGATGCTTCCAACATGATGATTCAGGAGTTCTGTGGAGACATTCTCATTCCTGTAGCAGAACAGTTTTCAATTTATAAATTGTTTTTGGGAGCGATTGATGATAACAGTTGCCAGCTTAAAGCATTTTAAGCATGCTCAATGAGTTAAGGTTTAGGAATCTGGTTGGCCAATCCATTCTTCATATGTCTTTACTTTCAAGATATTCATCCAAAATCCTCATTCAATTGTTGGGTTAATAATCATGAAGACAGAATCTAAATGAACAGGAACATCAATCATGATATGATGCCTCTCTGCATTTGTTGTTTGCTATTGCCAAAACTATTCCTTTCCATGACATATTAGAGATGATTTCAGGTTTCAACTTGATAAATGTACAGTATTAGTTTAGAGAATTTCTTGTTAGTAAAACTTTTAAAAATTAGTAAAAATTAATGTATGAATTACATTTTTCCACTGTTTGGGTTTCCAATTGCAATACTGTCTACTCCTTTCTAATTGAGCTCTTTTAGGGCAATAGGTACATGTGATGTAGCCCAAGTTTCCTAGCATACAGAGCTTTCTTGTGAAGCCTTAGTCCATCTTGATATCAATCTTTTTGTTGTGAGGCAAAGTATAACATGACTCTGTTACAATTTGCAATTAGGACTATAATCATTCAGGACATCAGTCATTCTTAGCTTTTGTATACCATAGTCATCTCATGCACAAGTCATGCATTTGGATGTCCATCTCATGCAATTGTTACCAATCTTTTTATGAAAATGAAAAATTTTATTTATTCCTAAATTTTAAAAATTGAAAACAGTTGAAGCTATTTGACAATATTCTGTTTTTACTTTTTAGTGCATTTATGTGACTAAAAAACATAAAAAAATTTTTTCTTTATATTGTCTTTGATGATCCATTTATATTTGAAAACTGTATCAAATGTATCTAGCCCAATAATGACCTCCTAGGAACGTTGGAAACATTAGTCAAAATGTACTTAAAATGATGTTTATTTGCTAATTTATGAAAATATGTTCTATAAATTTACATCAATAGTTAATCTGTTTCTTTAGTAACTTCTGTATTTACCTCCTTGTCTGTCCATGTAATGTCTAGCATCCTCTCAATAGTACTACATCTTTAATGTTTCAAGTTGTCCATTCTAATTGTAATTCAGCATTCATAATTCTGAAGAAAATAATGCAACTGTTTGTACAAAAGCCTTTAAAATTTTTTTCCCTCTTTCACTCTGTGGACTCTAAGAGGGTGTTTTTTCCACATCCATAATGGCTTTGACTGGCCCACAATGAGGGCTGCTGGGTTGTGAGAAATAGGAATAGAGCATAATTCAAGACATTGCCCATGAAAAATCCTTGCAGTGGCTTGCCTGAATTTGATTTCATTTGATCAGTGTTAAATTGATGTTTGAACTGTTTTGGCCATACAGCCAGCCTTTAAGACCTTTATACAAAGCTGCAGATGTTTTTATATGTTATGAGGAATTTTTAGTTATTTTATGTATTACAAAAATATGTTTAAGATTTATTTTACAACTGAACATATTTGAAATACTAATTATTTTCTATAAATAAATGAAAATTATGATTAAATAAATAAATATCAGAATAAAATAGAAGTTTGATGGTACATCTGCTATTATTATTATTACTTGTTTAGTTTATTTATGCAACATTTATCTTTTATAATAGTTTTTTTATATTTTTACTGTTTCATTCAATTATGTGTGTTTTATCTTTATTTTTAGGACGGCATTATGGGGCCATTAGTTGTGAAGGATGTAAAGGTTTTTTCAAACGCAGTATACGCAAACAATTAGGATATGCATGTCGTGGAAATCGCGATTGTGAAGTAACAAAGCATCATAGAAATCGTTGTCAATATTGCAGACTCCAAAAGTGCCTTAGCATGGGCATGAGAGCTGATTGTGAGTAATTTCTGTTTTTCCGTTTAAAAAAATTTTTTTAAATTGTTTATTATTATTCATAAATTAGAAATACTCTGATTAAAAAAAGTTTAAAACAATTTTAAGATACNTTATTATTATAGTTTGTTTAGAATAACACTTTAATTTTTATATTTTTTATATTCTATACCTTTGAAATAGAAAATGTGAAATGGAAATCAAAATTACTTATATTTTTTATCACCTTAATTTTATTTTTCAGGAAAAATTTACCGGTAAACCGGTATTTTAATTTTCATTTACCGAATTACCGGTAAATGAAAAAGTCGGTAAATTTACAATCCCTAGTGAGTTGTGACTATACCTATAAAAAGTGGACTTGCTTAAATCTCAGTACAATTTTTTCAAATATGACAATTTAGAAGTTGAAAAGCTGCATGCACAATGGACAAACTGTGAGTAAACAAAGGTACTGTCAAACTTTACAAAAGTCAACTGTACTCATATGTAGTGGTGATTTTTCACATCTACTAATTTTTTCATGGGCATTTTTCACCAAACCGATTTAATTAGCTATGCTTCCATTATATCCTCATGCTACATGTTATACATCTAATCGTATAAAAATTTCAATAAAAAAAAATTTTTTTTTGTTTATCACAAGTCCCCAGAAAACTGCTGTGAAAAATTGCTGCCTTATGTGTGATACTGTAAAAGTAGGAGTTTACCATATCACAAAACATATTGCTTACTAATTTACATATATGTGGGGTTTAGATGAGTAACATTCCTAAACCATTAAGACAATAAACAAGGGGTTGTGGGGGAGACAAGGAGAATGGGAAAGAGAGACGATGTGGGGGTTGGACAAGTGACATTCCTAAGCCATTAAAACAACAAATGAGGGTTATTGGGAGATGTGGCAGAATGTGAGAGGGAGACAAGTGAAGGAAGGTGACAGTTGGTGATGGCATGAAAAGGACAAAACGTCATTGTTCTATCTATAAGATGGTTTGAAGATGGTTAGAAGATTTAGCTGAACGCTGGAAGATTATTGTTACTACTATTTCTATCATTATTCCTACATATATTGGATAAAAATTTTGTTTGTAAAGAATTTTTGAATTGATATAAAATAAACGACTTTTGGATAAGTATAAAAATTCTTCTTGTTGCTATGCACTTCATGCCATTTATTATAAACATTGAAGAAGTTTGAAGTGATATTTTTGAAAAGTATAGCTATTAATATATTGAAAGAAGGGCAATTTCATATTGAAAAATATTTAAAGCTTTTTAACTCTCAATCGTTATTTTCAAAATTTTGAAAACGATTTTAAGAACCTGGAGACATAGGCTGAAAAATCACACTTTTCATAATTCTTATTTGATGTTAACTATACATCATCGTAAAGAGTTTACTGTAAGGAACTTTCCATTGAGTTTTTGGTAGAGTCAAATTCACAAAACAAATATAGATGTTACTGAATTTTCACAAGAACGTTTATATTACAAGTAAAACATATGTACAGTTACGAAAGTTCACAAACAACAATTACAAAACATCAGATGTAACAAAGTTCAAATACTGTTAATCCATGACAACAGGTCCATCAAAAAGACACCTTGCGACGAACTTCTTCCAACGTTAGTTACCGCACAACAAGACGAAACAATCTTCTAGGCCAGCTTAGGCGAAGTTAGATGAACGTGAGTTCCCTTGATGAGTCCTAGGAGAACTAAATTTCCTGCCTAAACTCAATCCTTTTATACAGATTGAAGCAAATGGGATTCCACCAATCAGCGCTTAGTAGCGCTACAAGACATCCACTGGTGGTACGATGTCTTGCAGCCAATCCGCAGTCGAGTTTCCAACATTGTCTGAACGGCATTCCCATGGTGACAACTGCCGTTCATTTGAAAATTCAGAAAAGCGCAGGAAATCATATGTCGGACGATTTTACCCCGACAGGTAGTAACAGAAACAATGATTTTATGATAAACTAGGTATAGTACTCAAAAATAGTGGTCAATGTATAAACTTCAGTACTTTGCATTCCTCTTAAACCTACATATAGAAAAGAATGTTTGGAGTGAAAAGCATTCTAATTAGATGTTCAACCAATAGAGCAAAATTCTCCTTATGGATAAATTTCTTTTCAGTTTAAACATGTTTAGTTGAACTATCATCTATAAATAGAATGAGATTTAGTATAATCTGCATTATATAATAAAAAATGAAAGTATAGGCTTGTTTGTAATAGAGAGTCATTTCATTAAATAGTCAGAGAAAGATGATGGGATGTCTTTAAATTTTAGTAATACAAAGATAAAGTTCTAGAACTTTATGCTAAATTATGTTAATGTTAAATTTTATTAATGAAGAAAAAGAGAAAAATTGAAAAAATGCTAAAACTTATGTTGGAGGAAAAAGAATTTTAAATATAATTATTATATGTTTGAAACACATGTTGAAAACACTGAATGTGTATATGGTACATAGGCTCACACTTCAAATTTAATTTATTCCAGGAGGCCATTGAACTCTGAACCATTTGAGGTTTGAATCAATTTTTCTCATTAGAAATGATAGAAAGTGATTTAATTAATTTCCAGTTTCTAAACACTACTCACGTTGATAAAGCAAATATGCATAATTTAATGCATAATGATAAACAGCAAATATGCATAATTTAAGGTAAAAAAATTATGCAATTAAATTGCATAATAAAAAAGTAAAACAGGAAAACAATAAATAAAATACAGCAAATACTGTAAAATAAAATGGAAATTCCATTTACTGAACAAACACCTTTGACTTTGGCATCTTAAACATGGCTGCCAGATCACACACATGTAATGCTTTCATGTTTCATGATAAGTTCCTTTTTCATCTCAATCATTGATATTACAATCTTCTTCTTAGATTTTGTTGCTTTTACACACTTTTTGAGTTCCGTGGTTAACAAGTAAAGGGTATACTGGGTTGAACAGAAAGCTTTGCGTGTTTTTAACAGTTGCTGTTACTTAACATAACTGTGATTTAATAAAATTTGTGAAATTTGATAGATTATTGCTAATATGAGATTGTATTCTTTGTTTATAAGCTTATTTTACACTTTTTACTTCACATTTTGTTTGAATAAAATCAAGTTGAAATGTTTTTAGTTAAAAACATATGGGGTATATTATGTTATATGAGTTTCAGAAATGATAATTTTTTTACTGCTTTACCTTAAAAATAGTAAAAAAATTTGTAATGTGTATGTGGAAGATGCCTTAACCTTAATGGTCCTTTTCAATTGGATTACATACAATGATAGCAATCTACAAAAAAAAAATAGTCTATTGTGACTATCATCAACATTACAATAAATCTTAGATGTACTGTACAATAATTACAAAATATTGTTAGAATTATAAAATATATCTAAATCAGTAACTGACATTACTTTGTAATCATTTACAAGATGCACTAAGGAACTTTATTATAGTAAACAAATGAAAAAATGTTACAATTTAACAAAATTGCAATACAAAACAGGAAGAAAAAACTTTGGAAATAGTCCTTTTGTCTTTTTTATAGTTGTAATTATTTTCTTTCCTTCTGTCAACACCACATCTATAGGACATGCTACAGGCAAGAAGTTTTTTAATATAATGTGTAATGTGGTTTAAAAAGTTCCAACATTCAGGAAATTTTGAACTAAAGGATACAAAATGTACTGGTTGTCCAAAAGCTGTCAACAAGGAAAAGTTGAAGGAAGAAATTGTTAAAAATCAATCAATAACACACAACATATATAACCAAACACAAAAAATAAAGCAATAAAAGCACTGAAAACATAGAAGCAAAACACAAGATGACTCAGGTGCACAACAAATTGTGTTTACACTTTGAGTATATTTTTTCACTTTGCACACAGTTTGAACTCTGACGTCATTTGAAGTACAAGGTACCACTGTACTGAATTTTTAGCAGTACTAGGAATTTCGTCAAATGCATTGTTTGTTTTTTTCTTTTGTTTAGCTAATATGTTAAATAGAAGCATTTTGTTCTAAAACAATTTTCTGTAATTTTTTTGATAAGCTTTATGTCCAAAAAATGGGAATATCTTTTGAATTAATTTTACTTTTAGTAATTACTTTTTAGACTTTTAGCTCATGTTTTTTTTTCTCAAATATAGTGCATATTTTTTAAATATTCATTTTTTTGTATGGAATGAGTTAACTTTTCTGGAGAATTTGGGAGAAATAGTGGGAATTGTATTGTTGCAGATACTTTATGTTAATGCCATGATTCAAGCTAGAAAATCACAGCCTTTATTATAATCTTCTTCTTGGTGCCATATCAGATTTCTGACATCGGCAACACCCGGCGCAGATTAGTAAGTAGTTAATAATACGCCAAGGTGTTACTAGGGAAGGTTAGTACCCAGAGTGGTTTCCCGTTGCCTTCTCTGGGGCGCGATGTTAGGCGAGGAAAAAGAATGCCTTCCAGGAGGACTTTTATGGGGAACTGGCCTCCTATTCAGTCGTTATCGGCAAGGAGAAAACCCGGAAAACTCCAAGCAGCCAGCCTGTCCGNAAATAATAAAAATATATTAATTAACACATTGGCCAGGATGACATTAATATTTAAAAAATAGAAGAAACTAAATGTCTTTGTTATGTCTTTTCACACACCTCAGGAACGAAACTGAGGTGTGTTTACTTTTTTTAAAGAGAAAACCGTTTTGAACTTCTTAATGGTCCAAGAATAAGGGTGATAATACTGATTGATTACTCTTATTTTTTGATTAGACTAATAATCAGACTGGACACTTGGAGTTACTAAACAGTGATGGCCATCTATTCCTACACTTTGCAGAACATTAGATATCTTATTTTTTGATCAGATCACATATATATTCAAATAACTTAAAATATTTATTGGAATGGTTGATTATTACTAATTAAATAATCAAACTAGATTTATTATTGGGATAAATAAATATACAAATACTATGTAATCTGAACTA